TTCTGGGCTCCAAGATCACCTCAGATGGGGACTGCAGCCAAGAAATTAAAAGACGCTTGCTCCTGGGGAGGAAAGCTATGGCAAATCTAGACAGCATACTAAAAAGCAGAGACATCACCCTGCCAACAAAAGTGCGTATAGTCCAGGCCATGGTTTTCCCAGTTGCAATGTATGGCTGTGAAAGTTGGACCATAAGAAAGGCTGAGCGCAAAAGAATTGAGGCCTTTGAACTATGGTGCTGGAGAAGACTCCTGCGAGTCCCTTGGACTGCAAGGCGTTCAAACCGGTCAGTCCTAGAAGAGATCAACCCCGACTGCTCTTTAGAAGGCCAGATCCTGAAGTTGAAACTCAAGTACTTTGGCCACCTAATGAGAAGGAAGGATTCACTGGAGAAGAGCCTAATGTTGGGAAAGATTGAGGGCAATAGAAGAAGGGGACGACAGAGAATGAGATGGCTGGATGGAGTCACCGAAGCAGTAGGTGTGAATTTAAATGGACTCCAGAAGATGGTAGAGGACAGGAAGACCTGGAGGAACATTGTCCATGGGGTCACGACGGATCGGACACGACTTCGCAATTAACAACAACAACATATCTAATATATACTGATAATATACAAATAAGATTGCTGTACAATCAGGCCAGGAATGTATTTACAAGGGAGATCAGGGCAACAAAGAGAAGCTATTTTGAAAAACTGAGGAATCAGCTATCAACAAACCAACCACCAAATGTGTGGAAAAGCCTTTAAAATGTTACTGGCTACAGCAAACCGCCTTCCCTTGCTGAAGAGAATTGACAATTGGCAAATGACCTTACTGTAAGTTTGAGAGCAATTCACTGTCGGATACACCAACAATAGTCTCCTACACCTGACTCCATCTCTTTGCCCCACTACCTCTGGTGATCACAGAAAAAGATGTGCAAGGTCTATTTCACAGACAAAAGCGTGGAAAAGCACTGGATCAAATGCCCCCCATCTTTACCCACATCTTTAATAAATCACTGGAGATGTGTTATGTCTCTTCTTGCTTCAAACTTTTTACTATCATCCTGGTGCCCAAGAAACCCTCCATTCGGGAGCTGAATGACTAGAGTGATCGTTTTGACATCTGTAGTTATGAAAACTTTGGAAAGGTGCTGGCCCACCCAAAAGACATAACAGATTCACTGCTAAGCCTCTTGCAGTTTGCTTACTGTGTAAATAGATTGACAGATGATGCTGTCAATATGGCACTGCACTGCATCTTACAACATCTTGAATCCCCAAAGACCTATGCAACGGTCCTTTTTGTAGACTAGCTCGGCATTCAATACCATCATTCCAGAAATCCTTTTCTCTAAATTGACTCAACAAGCTGTTCCTGATCATAGATAGATTATAAGCTTTCTAACAGATAGGAAGCAGCAGGTAAAGCTAGGTAAAATCACATTGAATGCCTGTTCAGGAGCCCCCCAGGGCTGTGTGATCTCTCCATTACTCTTTTCTCTCTATACTGGTGACTGTATTTCAAAGGATCCCTGTTAAAATACTCAGGTTTGCACATGATACAACAGTCATTGATCTCTTTTGACACAATAATGAGTCTGCATATAAAGGGAGGTAGATCAACTAGCCCTGTAGTGCAGCCAAAACAATCTGAAGTTGAACACTCTTAAAACTGTAAAGATAGTAGATTTTAGAAGAAGCTATCCTATTCTACTGCCTCTTGCAATATATTAGGCAACACAGTATCAACAGTAGAGACTTTCAAATTTCTATAAACTCCCAGAACTTGAAATGGACACCTAACATTAGAATCATTGTTGAAAAAGCCCAACAAAGAATGTTTTTCCTACTATCAACTCAGAAAGCTCAGCCTGCCGAAGGATCTGCTGATATAGTTCTACAGAGGATTTATTGAGTTTGTCATTTGTACCTTAATAACTGTCTAGCTTGGCACAGCAACCAAGAAGTACAGGTTACAGACTTCAATGGATAGTTAGAACTGCAGAAAAAAAAATTGCAACCAGTCTACCTTCCATTGAGGATCCATATCCTGCACAAACCAGGAGGGCTGAGAAAATAGCTACAGACCTTCCTAGAATCCATATGGATCAATATAAAAGGAAAAAAGAAAATATTGCTATAGGTTTATACTACAGATAACCTAACCAAGCAGAAAAAATTGATGAACTTTTAGCTAAACAACTAACAAATGTATGTAGGAAACATACTACAATAGTAAAGGGAGATTTTAACTACCCTGATATCAACTGAGACAAACTCTGCAGCAAGTGGGAGATCAAATTCCTAACCAACCTAGCTGACAACTTTGTCATCCAAAAGGTAGAGGAGGAAATTAAAGAAAAAGCTATACTGGACCTAATTCTTACTAATTGAGAAGTGATAGAGGGAGTTGAAGTTGCTGGAACTTCGGGTGAGAGTGATTGCATCATTTTGGAATTCAATATAATGCAATCATAAGCAATAAAACATAATCCACCCAGTGTCTTAAACTTTAAAAGAGTTTAATTATAAACACACTGATTTGTATATCCTAAATATTCAAGTTAGCTGGAGTGGTATCTCTCTGAATGTAACAAAACGTAAGGTTAAGGTGTTGCACAAATCAGCTTTGACTTGGTTCACATATGCCAAAAAAACTGGTTTGCTTGGTTTCATCTTAAAACTAATTGTATTCATATAACATAATTCATAGGTTTGTTTGTGAAAGTTCAGCTTCAGCTACTGGGCTTAATAATAAGCAGTCATAATTTGACTTGCTTGTTTGGACTTTAGTGTAATTTAGGCTATTTGTATTCTCTACCTTTAAAAGCAGATCTAATTCACATATTGCATATACTTCACTGAAATTATATGTAAGGGTTTAGGTCTATACATATGTTGTATATAGTACATTTAAATGCGTGTTATGTGTAAACTCTGAGAGCAAGCAACTGAACTTCATTTTTAATTTGTGCCATTGTGCCCACAGTAGAAAATGACAATAAAGGTTATCTATCTATCTAAATTGTCCATGGGGTCGCGATGGGTCGGACACAACTTCGCAATTAACAACAATCTATCTAAATTACATATTCCTATTAGTTTTTATCAAAAGTATGCCAATTTAACAACTCATATGTCAAGTTTGAGATGACATATATAGTTAAACCTGGTTTATTTTTAATTCACCATGTTAGAATTTAGAAGTGATTTCTAAGCCATGGTTTATTCTTACAATATTACATGAATTATAACTGATTTTGTGTGAAGGAACACTTCAGTGTTCCAATATCTCAGGGGCTGCCACAAAGAAGAGGGAGTCAAGCTATTTTCCAAAGTGCCTGAAGGCAGGACAAGAAGCAATGGATTGAAACTAATCAAGGACAGAAGCAACCTAGAACTAAGGAAAACTTCCTGATAGTTAGAACAATTAACCAGTGGAACAACTTGCCTCCAGAAGCGGTGAATGCTCCAACACTGGAAGTTTTTAAGAAGAGACTGGACAGCCATTTGTCCAAAATGGTATAGGGTTTCCTGCCTGAGCAGGGGGTTGGACTAGATGACCTCCAAGGTCCCTTCCAACTTTACTATTATTATTCACTATAATGCAATGAACGAATGAACAACACCATGTATAAATACAATGTATGTTATAAGTTGAAATTGCAGACATTATAGTCACAACATGCAAACTGTAGGCTTATCTGATGCCTTTGTTTTGTGGCATTTGGATTAATAAAATGATTGTCCACCTCTGCGCTGTCATTCATTTTCTTTGTAGGACTAAGTTGCATTCACATTATATTTCAATTTGTGCCTTGATGTGATTTGCAAATCAGATTTAGCATGCTGTACAAAGTCATGGAATTCCGGTGTAAGGTTTTCCACCTAGCCTCACAAACTCCTCTGGGCTACTCAGGAATTTTAAAAAGCCAAAGAAACTCCTGAGTCAAAGTTTCAGCAACAAAACAACTTTTATTTTGATCAAAACAGAGCTGGGTGTCCTCCTCCCTCTTCGTGGCTGTTTAGAGCAGTGGTTCTCAACCTGTGGGTCGGAACCCCATTTGGGGTCAAACGACCATTTCATGGGGGTCTCCAAACAACACAGTCCGCCATTTTTTCCCTTTTCCTTAGCTGTGCTACTCCCTTTTATTCTATTGGCTTTTGAAAGCCAATAGAATAGACTCTCTTGAATAGAGTCTAATTCTATTGGCTTTCAAAAGCCAATAGGAATTGTCCAGGCTGTCTCTGCCCTGCTGAGCCTGCCAAAAGTCCCCTTCTGCAAACAGTGCTGCACCAGTTGAGTAGTCCTTGACTTACGACCTGTTGGGGGTCGCAGCATTAAAAAGGTTGAGAACCACTGGTTTAGACGGATGAAGGTACACACAGAAAATATTTCTTCTACTCTTTATACCCTTCCAGAACAAAGAGATTAAATTCTCTGTACCAGGAGTAAGGAAGCACAGAAAAATTCCAAGGTGATGACTCATACACATCAATCCAGGCTCCTCACCTTCCCCCTCCTTATTTCCTGAACCACAGAATCTCACATTGCTCCTTTCATATAAGCAATCTCGTAAGCAATCTCCTGTATATTTAGCATGAGACATTTGCTTTTATGTAAATAATTTCCCAATATAAAGCACCTACATAAACAAAGTTATATATAAAATGATTACAAAATATCACTACTAGTATCAATATAAAATAGTTACAAAACAACACTATCAAGCTTAAACATAATAAAATCATAAGCACAATAAAATCCCTTCACCGGTTTATTTTATTAAAAAAACGGGTCCACGCGTGAACTCTTTCCGCTATTTTTCATCCTCGTCCTCTGCCCGTTTGTGTGAATTTAAAAGGACAAGGAACGATGACAACGATGTACCAGCCTTAACACCTTTCTTGTTGTTATACAAAACACGGACACAACGTGCAGGCCGCAGATCAACGCAAACGCAAAACACGTGACGTAACTTCCTTTGGCGCAAGCGCGTTGGACTTACCGGGGAAGGTCGTTCTTGAGGGAAGGGGGAGGTCGCCGCGATTGGTGGCTGGGCGATCAGCTGCTGCCGGCGCTGCGGAACGGGCGTATCCCGTGGGCTGCTGCTCTCGCTTGCCCGAGGTTGCGCTTTCTTCCCCGAAGGGCAATTCCGTCGAGGGAGGGGAGCCTTCCGGATCAGGGATTTCTTTTTCTTTCCATTTACTCCGTGGCCTCCAGTCTTTGGCCGGAGCTGACCTCTGCGCTTGGCCAAAAGATTCTTTCCCTCCTCGGAGCAATTACTATTTGGGTGAGCCTCTTTGTGACAAAACGCTTCTGGTTCATTCATACCGTTAAGCCAGTTCCTCCGCAGTGTCTCATTACCGTAGCCTTTTTAATCAGAGATGGGAAATAGTACCGGTTATTATTTTCTTTTCACATTTATTCACATTTATGAAGTGTTCTTTATACTTCAGCTTTATTCATATTAACCCAAGCGAAGCCCAATTGATTCTAATAAGCTGTAGCTTTCTGTATGTTTTCGTAAGGTTATAATCTTAGAAAAATATGTCGATGGTTAATTGTCTTGAGATTTATTCACTGACTGTTTTTGCCTTTATTTTATTGCATTTAGGTATTTATATTCTGCCCAGAAAATTTTTCCTTAGTAAATTTCTTAATTGCTGAGATTTATCTGTCATTAAAATAGAGAAATAAAAAAAGAGATTAAATGGTCAAAGAAATGGGTAGATATTCTATTTTGTTCTTGTCCTTTAAGTTTCCTTTGCATAGAGTTATGTTTTGCCTCTTTTGGTCTTAATATGGATAATCTTAACATGCAGATTTTCTATAATTTACTTCAGATTCTAATTAAAGTTTTCCACAATGACTTGCTAAAGATATTTGACTACATGAGTATGGTGTTAACATTCCTTAAAAAGTAATAAATATAAAATTCATCAGTGTGAGCCTCAGATGTGATGATTGGGCAGATCAGAGCACATGTTGGGTGGAATACCATATGAGGACATGAGCAAGAGTTCTATTTCACTGCATCTGTAAGAGCAAAGTCTCTGCAAATAGAGTCCCATGAAATCTTCCCGCCAATTGATTTACCAAATTACCGAGTGTGATATAATCAAATGAACAGAATGCTGTCCTTGTGAGACTGGGGACAGCTATGTCAAATAGGATTCAAGTCACTTTTGAATAGCTGAGCAGGTTTGAAGTGATATTTTACTAAAATGCTTATCTTTCTATTGGATAATTCTCCCACCCATTTTCATACTGTTACCAGTTTTCCAACCAGTATTCCTTCTTTCCAAATCCCATATGTTTTCTTTTTCATGCTCTTAGTGCAATTGCTGTAACTACAGGAACAGAAAGAGGGAACAGAAGCTAACCAAGTCACATCATGACAAAGCATGCTGCATGAGCAAGACTAATAATTCCTTTTCTGTATCTTAGAAGTCTAACTTCTCAGACTGGGTTCCCATGTCATACAGTTACAAGAAAAAAACCAAGCTCTAAAGTATAGGATGCTTTTTATTTTTTCCTTAACTTCATTTTAATATATTGTACATTAATATTTTATTCATTTATTAGTTTTCTATTATAGAAAAATTAATTCCCTGCCAAAAATAAAACCAAACTCTATTTCATTTTTCTTTCATAATCATGAGACACAGATTTTTTTCAGCATTTTATTTATTTAGCAGCCATTTGAAGTTATAACAGTATTGAAAAAAGTGACTTATGACCATTTTCACACTTATGACCATTGTAGCATTCCCCATGGTTACATAATCAAAATTCAGATGCTTGGCAACTGGCATACATTTATGATAATTATAGTGTCCTAAGGTCATGTGATTATCTTTTGCAATCCTCTGACAAGCAAAGTCAACGGGGAAGTCAGATTCAATTAATAATCCTATTACTAACTTAACAATTACAGTGATTCACTTAACAACTGTGGCAAGAAAGGTTGTAAAATGGAGCAAAACTCATTTAACAATTGTCTTGCTTGGCAACAGAAATTTTGGGCTCAATTGTGGTTTAAGTACAGGATTACCTGTACAGTAGCCTTGGTCTTTCATCAGTCATCAGTTCATTGAGAAGATGGACGCAAAGTGGAAATAGAGGAAAATCCCCTTTCCACATCATCTGTGGTATTCTATCATCCTCCCCAAACATGAGCAAACACCTTTAATTTTTATACTAATGATATTTTTTTTTAAAAAAAATCTTTTTGTTTTTAGCTTTTTTGAGCCAAAGTTCCAATCATTCTTTAGTTTTTCATATTTTATTTTGCAAATATGAGTTACTTACTGGTATATTTTCTTCAAGATTACAAACATTTTCCACTTTCTATACATGTATCTTAATTTCAGTTGAAAATTCACAGCAGTTTCCTAAGCTGTTCCATGTTTTTGTTCTCATTGGATTGATATACTTCCTGTATCTTATTTCAAAGAAGTTTCAACATTTTTTACTTCTTCTGACTAATTTGAGGTAATCTGTTGACATGGAGTAAAGTATCATCAACGTGGTGTTGATACACAGCTACAATACATCTCTCTTATTGACCCAATGAAGCTAACATGGTTCGTTCCCTGTTTTTGGAAGCTGTGGACAATTTTCCCTTAATTCTAGCAGGGTTGAATGGCTGTGGATCTTAGGGTCTTTCAGATCTGTGGATCTTCCACTATAAACCCTAGACGGGATACCTCTTCCCCAATGAGAGGTTCTTGGATTCTTGGCTCTTGCTCAAAGAGCAGTTAGCAGCTAGAGCAGGGGTAGGCAACCTTGGCTCTTTTATGACTCATGGACTTCAACTCCCAGAATTCCTGAGTCAGCCATGCTGGCTCAGGAATTCTGGAAGTTGAAGTCACAAGTCATAAAAGAGCCAAGGTTGCCTACCCATGAGCTAGAGTTAGGAAAGCTTTTGCAAAAATCTATTCTGGGATTTGGAGATCCAACTCATGGTTACTTCATATTTTGATCACTTCCCATTTGGACTATTACAGTGCACTTTACATGGGATGACTACTTGGAATCTACTACTGGTCCAGAGTGCAGCAACGTGATAGTTATGGGTACACCCCTACATTCTCATATAGTACCATTATTTCCTAAGTTGTACCATTAGTTCCTAAGTTGCACTGGCACACTAAGCTTCTTGGTGCAATATAGAGCTCTTCATGGCACAGGACTGGGTTATTTGTGGGACTAGGCAAAAATGTTTTGATCACTTCCCTCCCCATTTAGGTGATTCTGAGATTACACCCATCTACTTCCTATGTGCTAAGTTACATACCACATTGCGTACTATGCTAAGTGATATAATTAGTCTGGTTTTGGCCTCCCATGATTAATGAACAGTTTTTTGGGTTTATCTGACAAATAATAGTTAAGCACAATATGTGCTTGACAGTGTGGTAAATGTTTGTATTTTGGTTATTGGTAGTAATAAAATAAGCTTTTTTCAGCATTCTCTGTCTTACATTTTTACATAGACCTGTAGCTTCCTTAAACTTGCAGGCTAAGTTAAGTAGGCAGACTAATGCTGTTTAAATGGAACTTTTTGCTTTTTTCCTTCTTGTTTAACTTGAAAGTCTAGAGCTGTATTTGCATAATTGTGAACTAAGCCAAGATTTATTTTAGCACAGTATTATTGAACAAGTCTGTCAGATTTAGCTTTACAGTGCTGTGTGTATCAAGTAATTGGCGTTTATTTAATAAATCATTTAATAATCCTTGAATCCAGAGGCTCAGTTCACAGAACCTCTTAAGCTAAAATGTGGTTTATTAATATTATAAATCTAGATAATTAATGTATATTCCATATTCTGTGCAAACCCCAGCATTACCTCTTATGCAATAAGCAATTGCTGTATTAACCATTGTTTAGTCACTAGTGTTATTATATGTTATTATATATTACTAGTGTAATCCTTGTAGATCAGGGGTGTCAAACTCAATTTCATTGAGGGCTGCGTTAGCATTGCAGTTGCCTTCGGGGGCCTGGGTGGATGTGGATGGAGTGGGTATGGCCTACTGGGTGGGCATGGCCAGCTCTACATCATTCGCGTCAAGGGTGCCTGGGCAGGAGTGGGACAGATCTGAGGGTCTCTGACAGAAGGGGGTGAGACCAGAGCAAGTGCCAAGGCATGGTCCATTTCTTCATTCCTCACAATGGGTGACACCTTCCCAGCATGCACTCGGGGCGTGACTGACACAGCAGGGGCTGGTTCCTCACTGTTTCTAGACGGCCTTGTGGAGCTAAGACTGAATGCCTTTCAGCATAGATGGCCACCACAAAATTGTACATTGGCTCCCGGCCAGACTGGGCCAGGGCCAAGGCAGTGGGGGCCGTTCCCTCACTGTTTCCAGGATGGCTTCGTGGGCCACATGAAACCACTTCGTGGGCCACATCCAGCCCCAAGGCCTTGTGTTTGACGTCTATTGTAGATGAATATAATCATCTTACAAATTAGTAAAATCAATCCTGGATTAATTTTATCTCAGTTTCTTTTGTTAATAGCCAGAGGATATCCCGTCAAATCCAGCCTTGTCAAAATACATTTTTTTGTATTTGTGAGTGTGCTTTTGGTTTGTTGAGGGATTTGTTTAGATTTCAAGAATTACCGTGCAACCAAAGTTTTGTGTGTGTGTGAATCCAGCCACTGAACTTTGTAAATAACACTGTGTAATTTAGTAAGCTGTATGAATCAAGCCATTTCTATTATTTCAGTAAACCATGACTTAGCATGGTATGTCAACATTGTATAGAACAGTGGTTCTCAACCTGTAGGTCGGGACCCCATTTGGGGTCAAATGACCATTTCACGGGGGTCGCCAAACAACGCAGTCTGCCATTTCCCCCCCTTTTCCTTAGCTGTGCTACTCCCTTTTATTCTATTGGCTTTTGAAAGCCAATAGAATAGACTCTCTTGAATAGAGTCGAATTCTATTGGCTTTCAAAAGCCAATAGGAATTGTCCAGGCTGTCTCTGCCCTGCTGAGCCCGCCAAAAGTCCCATTCTGCAAATGGTGCTGCACCAATTGAGTAGTCCTCGACTTACGACCGGTTGGGGGGTCGCAGCATTAAAAAGGTTGAGAACCATTGGTATAGAATTTTTGAGTTTCTTTAATGAATTGGAGGTTTGTTCAGGTTTATCATTTATCATTATGTGCAGTATTGTGTTCACATGATTGTCTTTTTGGTGGAGACTGCTTATATAAATGGTGTTGTATAAAGTCATGTTATCCATATACTGGTTTTAATGGGCTGTATATTCTTGATTCT